GATTGGGAATTGATCAATTTCCCAATTCTCTGGTGACAAGCACAGGTGTTTCCTGTGAGATCCCCAGAGCTCTCCGCCTTGGGCGGAAACCGTTAAACTATTTATAGGCAGAGGTGTTTTACAGGAATATCCAATGGTGACCGTTATATGGAATCTTTAATTTTTTGGCAGGTGGCAGCTCTTTGTCTCCTCAAGTTACAAGGTAGTGGGTTAGGTTTCTCTACCTGTTACGTGTGTGCTACGTGTGAGGAGCTTACGCTTATCTTTGACCAATTATATATAGTTTCCCCTAGCATTTTATTTCAGCTGACCAATTATCTGTAGTACACCACCAGCGTTTTGTTTCAAGGAATTTCTTGGCAGGGAAGTCTTTTAACCCTTAATAGTCAAATGAAGATGATTTGAATGTTATCTCTTGCTCAGTGGCATGGGCACAAGTTAATTGGGTTGTGACAACAGTCATGGGGGGCCGGCTTTCCAGGGTCCTGTACAATGGGGTGTGGGGCCTGGCCCAGCATGGGGTGCACTAACCATCCCCTGAACTCCTCCTCTTTGGGGAAAAGAGGGAGGCAGAGCTGAGGTTGGGGGTGCTGGGATGTGGGCTAAGGGCACTTAGTTTGGGGGGGAAAGGGTTGCAGGGTGGGGGATTGCAGAGGAGCTTGGGGAGTGGCTTGAGGGGGATCAAAGGGAGGGCAGGTAGACGGTGTCGTGGTAAACACATGCAGCAAACTTTAGGTCAGGTCAGCAGAAGCTTGGTTTATTAGAGAATGCATTCTGGACAGGCTCATACACAAGTGGAGAATTGTGAAGAGGTCTGACCTCATACAACAGGTGAGGCGAGTTCATATAGAAAATATGACGTCCTAAGCATAGCAACGACATATACCAATCAGCATTTGCCATGACTTTGTTAGTAATGCGCATGTCTTCAATTTATCTCTGTTAGCAGAATTTAAGGGTCTTTTGACTTGTAACTTCAGGGGTTACTTCCCTTTTTGGGCTGACTCAGCAGGCTGGTTTGTGGTTACTTTTGTGCTAAGCTTTTGTTTTTTACTAGACTAGGGCAGGATGGTCTTAGTCTGTGTTAGTTTGGCAGTTTCGGGTCATGTTCTTTTGACTTCTCCATAGCTTACATATTTTGCACCTTATACATAAGGAGATTCAACTCCATTTTTCTCTTCTTCCACAACGGGATGTAAGAGGGTTGGGGAGCCATTTTGGGGTCACGCCTGGGGGGAGGGGGTGATGCCCCATGGCAGGATTTTTGGGGGCTCACCAGTGAGGTCACTGAAGCAGGTCATGCTGAACC